CCTTTATGAACAACGACTGAATTTCACGTACAGCTTTTGTTTTTTTTTCTCGTTTTGCCTCTCGAGACTGGTTCATGCCCTTCACGAAAAAATGAACTCGTGACAGCACGTAAATTACCACTCTCTTTGACACGATATGCGGTGTGATCGGGCTCATATAAATTCAAGGTAAACAAAGCTTGAGTAAGCGTTCCAGCGAAGCTGCAGTGCATAGTGTTTGCCACCTCGGGTTCGTAGTCAGCAGGAAGGTCCATCGATGTACCTGAATCAGTGGCCTGACCGTCAAGACAGGGTGCTGCAGTTTTCTTGGATATGGTAGATTCTACCGCCGAGGTCCTCCGCTTTCTCGGAGGTTTTGGATGCGGCGCTTAGTTCGATAAGTAGCTTGGAGCGTTACACAGTAACATCGGCAGGGCGTCCAGCGTTAGCTCTGGTCTCCTATGTGGTACGCGAACTTCTTCGCCGTTTATAACGTGCACGTAGTCTCCGAGAACACATGAAGGCTCGAAGTGTAGCTCACATACAGAGCAGCTTTCGTTCAAGGTCCCATCCTTTCAATGTAAATTCTGTTCCCAAACCTTCTTCCGTGCTTCGTCTTTGGGTGCAGCGAGAAGCGACGACTGCTCACTTTTTTTTTCCGATATGATATACGTACCCTGTTTCGCACCTAGGTGCAAAGCAGTGTCGTTGCCGCCGATGACTCGACATTGCCTCACTGTCGTGTGGCCAGCAAAAACATTGCTAGAAAAACTTTCGTTATGCGGGCGCGAACACAAGCAACAGGTCACTGAACAGCACCCAAGAAGGCAAGGCGGCGCAGAGCTGACACTGGTAGGTGTTCTGTGGTGGTGGTGGTAGTGATTAGAAAGAAGAGGAAAAAGGCACCTAATTTCTGTCTGCCTTCAGGCGACACGGCGCAGTGCCTTATAGGGGTGGGGGGAAGGAGGGATAAAAAGAATTGAAGGAAAATAGAAGGAGAAGAAGACAGCCAACGAGAGAAAAAAAGAAGGAGATAGGAAAGTGGGGATCCGGTCGAAGCAGTCCAGGGCGGGGTGCCACAATGCGAGAGCTGCACGGCGTCAGGAGACCGCGGAGGGCGAACCAGTCGGCGGGAGCTACGCTGATGCCGGAGATCGCGAGGGCACAACCGTCCAGCTTGAAATCCTGCGAGCGAATCTGTTCTGTGGCTGACAATCCTGCCAGCCCACGGAGGAAGGAGAACTAACCATTACATTTATCTTTTTTTTTTCCTTTAAATAATGAAGTTGAGGATTCGTACTTCGCAGTGAAGGGTTTAATTTTCACTCGTGCCTTGACTTTAGCCACCAATCAGATAACCTCCTTCTAGTTAAGTCTACCCGCTTAAAGTCTATTTTGCCCTCGCTGTCCCTAAATCCCAGTGCTTTGAAAAACTTTGCGCCATCATCCTGAACTATAGGGTGAAGCCCTTTACAGAACATTATCAAGTGTTCGGCAGTTTCTTCTTCCTCTCCACACGCACTGCATACTGTGTCGACCCCTTCGTATTTGGCCCGATATGTCTTGGTTCGCAGTACTCCCGTCCTGGCCTCAAACAGTAGAGAACTACCCCGAGTATTATCATAGATCCTTTCCTTGGCAATTTCCTGCTTAAAAGTTCGATAGATCTCTAGTGAGGACTTCTTAATCATGCCCATTCTCCACATGTCAGTCTCTGTTTCCTTCACTTTTTTCTTAACCGATAGTTCTTTTTGGTTTGGCCACCTGCTGTTTTCTAAGTATTTACCAGTCAACTTCCTGGTTCGCTTCCTCCATTTTGTATCGACATTCTTCATGTACAAGTAGCTGAAAACCTTCCTAGCCCAACGCTCTTTCCCCATTTCTCTCAATCGCTTCTCAAATTTTATCTTGCTGCTAGCTTCCCTGCCCTCAAATGATGTCCATCCCATATCACCTTGTACTCCCTGATTTGGTGTATTCCCGTGAGCTCCTAAAGCGAGCCTACCTATTCCACGTTGCTTAATTTCTAATCTTGCTTGGACTTCTGATCTCATGCACAAGACCGCATTGCTGAACGTCAGCCCAGGAACCATGACCCCTTTCCATATTCCTCTCACAACATCATACCTATTGTAATTCCACAGTGCCCTATTTTTCATGACTGCTGCATTCCTGTTACCTTTAGTCGTCACGTATATTTCGTGTTCCCTCAGATACTCGGTCCCATTGCTTATCCATACGCCCAGATATTTGTATTTATCTGTTATCTCTAGCGTGACCTCCTGTATTCTAAGCTCACTACCTTCGTTGTCATTGAAAATCATGACTGCTGATTTTTCCCTACTGAATCTAAAATCTAACCTATCTCCCTCATTACCGCAGATGTCCATCAATCTCTGCAAATCTTCCTTGTTGTTGGCCATTAGCACTATATCATCTGCGTACATTAATGCTGGTAGTGCCTGATCAATAAGTTTTCCTTGTTTGACTAAAAAGAGGTTGAAGCCCAGTCCACTTCCCTCTAATTTTGCCTCTAGTCCTTGTAGGTACATCATGAATAATAATGGTGACAGGGGGCACCCCTGCCTAAGCCCTCGTTTTACCTCTGCAGGCTTGGATACCTGTTTTTCCCACTTTATAACTACCTTGTTACCTTTATAGACACCCTTTAAAAGATTAGTGACTACATGTTCCACGCCTAGTGTGTCCAGTATTCCCCACAATTTCTCTTGAACCACGCTATCGTACGCTCCCTTGATATCCAAAAATGCTAGCCACAGGGACCTGTGTTCTTTTTCTGCTATTTCGATGCACTGCGTCAGTGAGAACAGATTGTCTTCCAACCTCCTGTGTTTCCGAAACCCATTATGCAGTTCCCCCAGCACCTTCTCATCCTCTATCCACGCCTGCAATCTTTCCTTTATAATCTGCATCGCCAGCCTGTAGACCACTGATGTCACTGTTATAGGACGGTAGTTGTTTATGTCAGCTTTGTCCCCCTTTCCTTTATAGATCATGCTCATCCTGCTAAATTTCCATCCATCGGGAACTTCACCATCGATTATTATTGTACTCACTGCCTCTCTCAAAGCCTGCTTAGACTTCGGACCTAATGTTTTTATCAGCCTAATTGGAATGCCATCTGGGCCTGTTGATGTACTACTAGGAACCCTTTTCTCAGCCCTTTCCCACTCTTGTTGTGAAAATGGAGCCATTGCACCACTTGATTCGTCTTTGTCTATTGTGGTGCATAAAGTACTTCTTTGTTGAAATTTTTCTGTCACCCTTGTTCTTATATATTCAATAGCTTCGTCCCCTTCTAGCCTAGCACCTTGGGCTGTAGTTATAAAGTTCTGCTCTTGGCTCGTCTCATTTCTTAGGGAGTTTAGATGGTTCCAAAATTTCGCAGCTGCCTTTCTATCTTTTTTATGTACTTCTGCCAGCCACTGAGCTCCCTTCCTTCTAATCTTTTCATTGATCAGAAGGGATGCATCCCTTCTACAGCTTAGAAAGGTTGCCCATTTTCTTTCCACATCATCTGTCGGTTCACCCCGCTGCTTAGCATGTCTGTGTTCCCTAGAGGCTTCCTGGCGTTTTGCTATGGCTCTCTTAACTTCCTCATCCCACCAACTTTTGGGTTTGTGTCTTCTTTTCCGGTGTGACTTGTCACGCGTCTTAGCAAGCTCTAGCTCAAAGAGTCTAATTAGATTCGTGTATGTCCACACTGTCTTACTATCCTCCGTGATTACTTTCTCAATTTGTTTAGTGGCTATTTCAATTTGCCTTTCTGGATTAAAATTTTCCTGTAGTTGCTCATCTTGTCTCCTTCCCACTTTCACTGCTCTTCCAAAACTTAGCTTGATACGTTTGTGATCGCTACCCAGACTTCTGGAGCCACCTTCATCTATGTGCATTTCCCTGAGCTTATCATACATCATGGGTGCATGGGCTGCCAGCCCATGCACGGCAGCGCCGCCTTGAGAACCGGTTTTTTTGTTCACATGTGACGCTTCACGCGATGCACGGCGAGAGATGGTGCCTGAACCCACTACACCATAGGTCCGTTCGATTCGCCTGCACCAAGGGAACCAGTTCACGAGGTGCTGGACCTTACCATTCGTTTCAGCGGTGCAGCATTGACGACCGCTGAACCCTGCCATTTGTTTCGAAAGGTGCAGAAGAGGTGCAGCACCGGTTCATAATTTTCCTGCACCTCCTTCGCTGACGGTGCCGGCTTGGTGCAGGCGCGCGTGCAGCTGAGCAGACGACGCAGCACTTAGACGTAGGTGGCTTAGCCGCCGTACCCGCCTCTACAAATGCGGTAAGTTTTGCCAAGATGTTTGCGCCTCATAAACTGTCCGCATGTGCGTTTCGCCATAGGTCAGTGTTTGCTGAATGGTGTAAATTAACCGAAAAGAAATAAGGCCAACACCTTGTCGACACATCGTCATTTGTTTCGGGTGTCGTGCTGTGCCTGCACCGCTGAACTCACGCTGCACAATTTCTGAACTTCGCGTGCACAGCCGTGAACCGGTTCCGACCGGTGCAGGTGAATCGAACGGACCTCATATTTTAGTACTCTATAACGGTATGAAACTCTACATGGAGGAAGGAAAGGAACCTTTCCTTCACGGAGGAAGGAAAAAGGTGCTTTCCGTGCTTTCCTTCCTCCGTGGAAACTCTACGTCTGTGACACCGTGGTCTGTGACGCCACGACAACTTGGTTTTGAAACTTCGATATATATATATATATATATATATATATATATATAGCGCGCGTTTTCTTGTTTACGACTGGGGTGGTGATTTCTGCGCTGCGAAAGGGTAATTTACTTACCATAAAAAAAATAAAGCTGTTTTTCGCTTTAAGTGTACTTTTTGCTTTAGGCCGCAAGGGATCGCGGCAATCGCGCGTGTTCATAATCGCGGGCATCAGCGGAGCTGCAGAGGTGTTCTGTGGCTGCAGTTTCAACAAAAGCACTTGTGAGCGCGCAACTTAGGCAGTAGTAAGTTTTTGCTTTATTCACGTATGTCAAGTATCATGAGTGACCAACTCGCCTAATCAGCCTTGCTGACAAGGGGAAACCTCCCCAGCCGAACCATACCAGCGGTCTGCCCACCGCGATGCAACACGGGTGTGCACCTTTCAAGCACCGCCGGCGCTCTAGCCCAGTCACGGACGCAGAGGCGCGCCAAATGTTCTTTTCCCGCGACGGCCCACTTTTGCTTCTTCGGCTCGTTAAAGGTGTGGGTTACCCCATGGGTTGATGAGTTAAGTGTGACTCTGGGACAAAGCGCTTCGGCGCCGCGTCTCCTTCCTATCTGACAACGGCACCCCGTGCTGCCACCCACGAAGCCAGTCGAATGCAGTGCGACTGGTGTACTTACTCGTGTCTTTTGTGCAGTCTACAGAACTAGTGTTACGTCCTGATCAGCACGTAAGCTTGACGTGCAGTTTCACTTTTCAAAGCAGGACATATTGCGGGATTAATCTTTCAGCAAGTCGAGTGTTTGCAGCTGAGCTTAAACGCGCGGGCGAAGGAAACACGAAGACAGTGCTGACGTCCGCACGTTTAAATTTAGCTGTTCAGCTGTGTGGTTTTCTGGGCCAGTTAGTGCATGACGTGAAAGTGAAGGGTTCCAGCAAGTTTCAACGGGAGCACAAGAGAAGAAAGCATAGAATGTGCGTTCCTGTATTCTTGTGCTCCCGTCTGAAACTTGCTGGAACCCTCCACTTTAAATTGAGCTGCAACTACTCGTCATGCAGCATCACCAACTCGCCCAGATGCAAACCATTCCTTTTCTTTTTAGCAAGCAGCTGGGCAAATACGGCAAGGCATCACAATAGCATAATGTTTTGCAGCAATGGTAGCGCAGTTTTTTTATCACAAAAACCAACCAGCCCAATACCTCTTTTTGCTCGGCACAATAGTGCTCCTTTCTGAATCATTGTGCTTTGCAGTGCTATTTAGCACTGCGCATACGACCATCATGTGTATATATCAGTGCATGTGATCTGGCGTTCTGGTTCTAACAGCTCACAAGCTGACTTAACAGTAATTAAACTGCATTTCACGCTTGTAACGCAGGTTTGTGATTGACTGGCAGAATTCCAGCACCAGAGCTACTCCGAGGCCACCAAATGTGTCACTGAGAAGTACCTATAACACGTGACATATGAAGCCGAGTCTCCAGCATCCAGGGCTAGCTTCCTGCAATATCAGCGGCCTGAACATTCATCCGTTTCTCTTACCCTGCACAAAGACATGGGAGAATCCGGTGTGCAAGCTACAGGAGCACCTGGAACTCTGCAACGACGTCCTCCAGAGCTTGAAACTCCAGCTGAGAGAGGACGACGGCGACGTTGGTGAACTGTGGCTCGTTCGCACTTCGCAAACGTGGCTTAAACACTCTTGGCCGCCACTCACGAAGTCTGATGCTCGCACTCGCGCCGCGCTGTCGCTCTTAAATCGGCTCCTGGTGCAGCACCGATGCGTCGTGTCCCTAGAACTAGACGGCATTGTCGCCATACACGATATCTTTCTTCGAGCTCTGGCAAGCAGCACGAGCGTCAAAAAGCTGATCATTTACGACTTTTACAAATATTCCTTGCACGAACCGGACCTCAGCGATAATTGCTTGAGCATCATCACGTCCTTGCCGAGCATTGAGAAGGTATCACTTCGGAACTCAAGCGGGCATGCACAATACTGCGCACTGACGTCCGCGTTCCAAATAGACCGAATTGGTGCCAAACTAAAGGAGCTGGACGTTGCAGACCTGAGATTAAGCCAGGCGGATGCGACCAACTTGGTCTCGATGCTCAATTGCAACGACACCATAACTGACCTGGCCGTAGGCACTTCTGTATTCACGCTCGCGAGCATGACATCACCGGTGAGCTTCATTGGCTTCTTGGCCAATGCGCGCAGTAGGTTGCAAAAGCTGTGCCTCAAGAGCGTGGACTTCTGCAGCACAGCCCAGCTGGAGAGGCTGGTCGACGCTGTCGCTGCTGTGACAACACTTGAGGAGTTCTCCGTAGACATGGCCATCTATGGGAGTGAGGGCACTGCCATATTTGCTGATGTAGTCGCTCGCAATGCTGCCCTGCGCAGTTTGAGCATCACCCTGCCAATGTGGTGGGGGGTTTCTACATTTAACGACCACATCAGTTGCAAGCCGCACCACCGCGACAATAGGGCTCGTCGATGGGCCTCTGCATTTACAAGCAACTCCACTCTGACAAACCTCACGATAGACATGCTCGGATGCATAGAGGAAGAATGTCACTGCTTTTTTCACGCGTTAGCCGCCAGTACGGGACTGCAACATGTGACAGTGCTGCGTCTTCTCGACAGGCGTTGCGTGAATGCCGTCTGCCGCACCATCAGACAAAGCAGTTTAGCTGGAAGAGTTTTTATCAAGGATCATGAACTAGGCTCAAGTAACATTTTGGAACTTCCCGATTGTGCCGAGGTTGGGTCGGTGACCCTAAATAGTTCTTCGTTGACCGACGCTAGCAGTATTTGTAGGGCATTGCCTATACTGGCCTCGTGTGCACACATCAGCACCCTCTGCATCAGCCTAAGTGTCGATTGCTTCAATAGCTCGTTGTACGCTGCCCTGTCTTCGTACACAAGAGCAGCCAACAAGCTCAGAGATCTAGAGCTGCACATTGTTTGTGAGTGGTACGTACAATCATATTCTTTAGTTGGTGAGAATCTCTTGGACAGTGTTTTGTCATCTGGCATCCCTTTTAGAAGATTCACATACGATGGTCCGCTGATAGGGAAGGATCACTGTGAGTTACTTTCAAGAGCCATCCATTGCAGTCGAACGCTGGAAGAATTGTCATTTTCAGTCTGTTCCAAAGCCGCAACAAATGGCCGCTTTCTGCATTACCTCGCACCGATGGCGATGGAGAACTATCAACTGCTTCGTGTGTATGTCGATGCCTACCATAAAGGCGACAATGACATGAAGGTCGTGACTGAGGTTACCAGACGCAACTCCAGCTTGGTGACGCGAGCCGCCTGTTTCGTGATGGGCAACAGGACCAACTACTGTGCGCGCGCTATTGAGTTTGTCTCGAAGCACGCCAAACTTGTGGAGTTGGTGCAAAAGAAAGCCTCTGTCGATGAAACCCAGGCGAAGGATATGATCCGACAAGCTCTCGCCAGCATCAACTCTTTGGACGGATACATGAAGGCGGCCGGAGTTGTCAAGGATGGTGTCGAGTGCATCGTTCAACAGAATAGCCAAGTTCAGATAGACCAACTCAATGAATACTGCTGGCGCCAACTCAGGCAGTACATCAAGGTAGCTGACATTGTGCAAATTTGACATAGTTATTGACCACAACATCCATCAAATAATGATATATGGACCACCTGCAAGTTTTCACATGCAAACCAGTAACTTTATTTGAATTAGAAATCCTAGAACAATAACTACACTGCCAGTGTTTAATTTGTGGCAGCAACACATGAAGCATGACCTTGAACATTTTTTATATCTGTGTTTGCAAAGTCGATTGAATCTTATCCAGGAGATTTAAAAAATAAAATAACCATCTTACACCTCTGTACCTGTTTCACAATGGTGAGTTCAGCATCGGAATTTTCCATATGCTATGTAGTTCATATTGCTTGCCATTTGCAAGAGATGTTGGAAACTCCCGATATGACACGCAGTGGAAGCTAATACAATGAAACAAAACACCCAGCCTGCTCCAATGTACATTCTCTTGATGCTAAGACAAAATAGTCTAGGAAACAGAAAACAAGAAAAATGTAAGGAACCTTAAAGCCAAAAATACAGGGGAGTGAGAATGCGGTAAAAGCTTGTTAATTCAAACTAACAGTTAATTTGAACCGACTCCCTGGTTTCGGCACAGCCCAACTCATTCCTATGGGGGAAAACTCCCGATAACTTGAACGAGTCCGATTCCACAACAGTTAATTCAAATTGGGAGTCCCAGGTTTTCATTACTTTTCACAGAAGTCTGCCCAAAGTGATTGCAATGTTTCGCGAAGCCAAACCAAACGAAGTGCTAAATGATCAAAATTTAGACGCAGCACTGGACTTCTTGGGCAAGGTGCAAACGATTCTCTTGGAGCAGCGACAGAAAAGCAAGCAAGCGCAGATTTCTCATTACTTATCATTTTGATTGCATCAACACTGCTATAATATAAAGAAATGGGTTTTCAAGCATAAATAGCATATCTTTCATGTTAAAGGTCACAGCTCACATGAATGCATGGTGCTGAGTGTGTGTGGCGTATCACTGACTAGTTGATTCTGGGCGCTTCAATAGCTCCATGTACTTAATTTGCAAAATCATCCCTTTCATACATGTAGCCCAGAGAATCGCCTCGTATACATGAAGCCCAGAGATGGCTTCTTTGGGTTCTACCTGCGCAGAGTGGCGCTATGTACGTTCATTCTTCTACAGTATTAAAATTTTCTCATGCTAATAAGCCAGAAATCTACCTCTGAATATTGAATACAATAATATTGTGCCTATTGTTAAAAAGTTGCAAAAGCAGAAGTAAGAATAGTTTTCATTTATGTTAGCTGTGCGAATAGCAAAATTCTGGGAGTGAAGCGAATTCAAATATTGAAGCTTGAGTGTGAATCGAACTGAATTCAATATTTTTTGGAATATTTATTGATGTTTTCTGGAATATTTTTCAAATAGTTCAAAGTGAACTTTCACAAAAAGTTGGAGAGGATTATTAAGCATATTCTTATCAAATACAGCAACATGAAAATGTTTGTTTTCGCTAGGTTGATGAAGTGCTGGTGGGAGGTATTTTATAGCTGTCTAATTGAGAATGAGGCAATATAGAGGCTGCATTGTATTGGTGCATGATTTGGTGCAGCCAAAATGTTGCCGACAACACTTTACACGGGAAAGGCAAATATGTGCTATTTCCTCAGCCTCTCCGCCTCTTTCAACTTCTGCGGAAGCCCAACTGATGGGATAGACTAGGGTGTACTCCCTTCAAGTTAGGAGTTCCAAACCTGCCTCCTCGGCGTTGACATACAAAAACATTCGAAATGTGGATGCTAAAAATCTTCAGCATCCAATTTTTTGGACTTCCTGCCCGAATTTCAGATCTAAAACAGCATTATTGAGTCCCCGCCTCTGCCGCATCGATAATTTCCATGTTGGAACCAGCGTTTTCTTGAGTCAATACATTTGCAACCGTAACGAAGCTTAAAAGGCAGCTTTGCTGTAATATGAGTGTAATGAGGTGAAGCATACTTAAAATCTGAAAGGGTCGCTTTTAGTTTGACGTTGTCTTTGGCAAGTTCGAATAGTAAAAAATCTAGTGCGAATTGAATTGAATATCAAACATTATTACAAAAATACTCAAAATTTCAAAAATTCGCACACCTTTAATTAATATGCGACTGGAATATTGACTACAACAGGGTCTATGTACCCGGACTATATAATCACCGACTAACAGTTTCTGGACAGTTTTGCATGACATTTTCTGACCGTGATACAAACGATAATCTGCTGATCCTTCAAAGAATGCTAGATTAACTTAAAGAAATACATAACGCAAAGATTAACGTGGCTTGCAAAACGTGTTAAAAACAGTGCATAAATAAGAAAAAAATGTACTTATAAGCAGAATGTTTGAATGTGGCCAAAGACTGGGGACACTACTGTAATCAATCAAGACTGTGCAAAATGGCACAGCAAAGGGGAAGTTTCACAACTACAACTTATCGAAACCTTGAAAAAATGTAAACATTCCGGGCAATCGTGAATCCGAAAGCATTGTCCTATGTGTTGATAACAAGAAATGCCTCGTTGCCGAGTGCAAATGAACGCTTGGAAATGTGACCTTTTCCTGTCTTTTTTTTTCTTTATGCTCGTGCAGTACGCTACTCTGTGAATAAGTTGAACCAGCGAATTGCATACCAATTATTCACCATTACTTCTAACCATTCATCACTAGAATGAGAGACGTAGTTCTATCATTGATCATGATGCTTCTGTTAATCAGCAGAAGGTTTTATTCAACATATTACTTGCTTATACATATATGTATATGTCTGCACACATTTTCCCCCTTCTTTTTTTAGTGTATATTTAAATATTTCGTCTCATTTTTATTTTATTTTTATTAATTGTTGTGTAATAGCAGTGTTCTATTTTTTCAATTTCCTTTTTGCTCAATTGATTTATAACAATTTTACTTTTTCATTTATATGTTACCAGCGTTCCCTTTTTTTTCCCTTTTATCCCAACTCTTGTTCATGTAACTATATTTTACCTTACCATTTTTACTGTTTATTAGCAACATTCTTTCTGCACCTTTATTTGCGTAACTGTCTGAAGCCTCCCTATGTAATGCCCAAAGGGCCTTTGGGTGTATCCATGAAAAAAGTCTCTGACAAGACACCACATGCTATCACACTGTAGCTCATTGGAGACTAATTTGGTAATGCACTAGTAACGAGCTATAAACGCATAAAGTTAGCTAAGCCAGCACCTCCTAGACAGTAGGCCCGCTCACTCTGCTTTACGTACCCTGGAACTTGTCCTGATATCTCGACGTGGCAACTTTCATCACGCTAGGCCCGGCAACATGCTTTTTCCTGCAAGATTGGCTAAAGCAGCGTGCGCAGGTCTACTATCCATAAGGGCTGTGCTCGGTCCGTATTTCCGTCGCCAAACCCAGCTGGCCTTTGGTGCTGCACGTGCCCCGTCGTCTCGGTGATAGAGTTTCCTAATGTTTCCTGATAGAGTTTCCACTAGAAGGAACTTTGGTGCTAGAGTCTATGGGAGCTGCAACGTACGGTGCTTCAGCGAGCAAGGGAATGACGAGTAGTACACGGATTTGTCTAATCCTCGTACTTCTGGCTCCGTGTGTGTCTGTGTGGCTTGGAACTGTTTTCTCAAGAAACAAAAATCAGTAAAACGTCAGCCTTGGCTCTTCACCACCCTACTTATTTAGGCTTATCATTAGAAATCGGCTCACTAAGTTCAAAAAGGTTTGTTCTTTCTTTCGAAACAAAACTGAAACAGAGCAATAAACGAAGCCACAAGTGCAATTCGCCGCCCGCAAGTACGATTGATTGATTGATATGTGGGATTTAACGTTCCAAAACCACCATATGATTATAAGAGATGCCGTAGTGGAGGGCTCCGAAAATTTCGACCACCTGGGGTTCTTTTAACGTGCACCCGAATCTGAGCACACGGGCCTACAACATTTTCGCCTCCATCGGAAATGCAGCCGCCGCAGCCGGGATTCGATCCCGCGACCTGCAGGTCAGCAGCCGAGTACGTTAGCCACTAGACCACTGCAGCAGGGCGCCCGCAAGTACAAAAACTAGGCAAATATGTGTACCATACCTGCCAAGTCTCCCGGATGAGCCAGGAGACTCCCGGATTTTGACCGTTTTTTTTTTTCCGGTTGTACGGTTGTCGTGAAAATCTCCCGGAAGTCGAACTGTGCGTGATGTGGCCGCATTGACAAAAAAGCCGCTCAATCCGCTCCAGGCTTTTTGAACCTACCCCATTTTATTATAAATGAGTTTAAGAGGCGTTCATGTAAATGTACAGAATAATCTCAGTGATGCGAAATCTCAGCGAATACGAATTCTTGAAATTTTCCAGCCAAATTTTACTATGTTCATTGGGCATAAATTCGAATTTTTCGAACACTTATCCTAATTGTGGCGGGTGATACGAACTGTAGTACGGAAACCGTCGAACGAAGGGCGCGAGCAGCGTACCCGAAGCTTCGGAAGCACGCGTGCGACCGGCGCACGCACTGTCTTCTACAGTGCGTGTGATTGTCGTTGCCACGACCGCTGTCAGCGCCTCCTTTACTTTTAGATGCCTGCTGTGTGGCCACCGGCTAGCCCGCCAAACCCTCTCCTGTTTTCTCGTTTTCACGCGCTTGGCTCCTACAGGGTGGCACAACCTTCTGACACTACCTAAGGTCCCTATACCAACACTATCGACCAGCCGCCAACCCACCGGCGCCAGTGCTAGCAAAGTACAGGTGTTCTGTGGAAATGCGTTGCTGCTCTCTCGGTGTGTCTGTCGGTGTACAAAGCATGGTGTGCTGCTTTGTGCTTTATTGCACGCCACGTCGTTACGAAACATGCGTTATTGCTGCGTGCCTTTCTATGCATCGAGCCAACGTAAGAGACAACTCGGCGTGTCGTTTCACGAGATCCCTGTAGATGCAACACTGAGGGAACAATGGCTTAAAGTGATATTGAGGAAAGACTGGCAGCCAAATTCAATGTCCAACTATTTTGCTGTCTGCAGTCTCAACTTCCTCGAAAGCGACTTCCAAGGAGACACCAAGAGGCACACGTTGAAGCAAGGTAGCGTGCCCAGCGTTTTTTCATCCTATTTGTCGTACCTCCGGCCAATACCACCTAGGCTGCGGAGTGACACGAGCATCACCAAACGCAAGCACAAACCATCGCCGGTAAAGACAACTTCACCTAAAGCGTATACTCGCGCTCCTGATGTAGACCTCCGTACAGGACCAAGTGTTGTGGACAGTGCGACTGTGGATTGCTTGGATGCCTCTGCACCTG